AGCCGGCTCTCCATGTGTCCCCATCCCTCCGCAGGCCTCCTGTCCCCTGCCACCCTGGCGCTGCGCTGCATGGATGGCGTGTTCCTCTCGCCCAACGAGGATGAGTTCGTGGGAAGGATCACGGAGGAGCTGGAGCACTTCATGCTGCAGGGGCAGCACCACCGGTGGGTGCCGCGACAGCGGGTGCAGAGGTGTCCTTGCACGGGGTGACCCCGCTGCTGCATGCGGTCCCTGGGCGGTGGCACTGCCGCTCCAGGAGCAGCGGCACGTGGTGACTCGTGTCTCTGGTTCTCCGGGGTGAAAACAGCGTCTGGGTTTGAGCAGCAGCGTTTGGAGCCTGGCTGCGAGGTTTTGGTGGGCTGCAGAGCTCCAGCCTGGCTCTGAGCATCGTGGGGTTTCTGCCCTGTGCCCTTCTCCATCCGAACTCCTTCAAGCAGAATTATTTGGACGCTGGTGGCTTTTGCAGCAGCCCCAGTCTGGCCTCGCTCGCTGCTCAGCCTGACGAGTTGTAATGAACAGTTTCATAACCAAACTGGTTCATTTCCCCTTTCTGCTGAGGGCTTCCTGCACGCCAGATCCTCCTCCACAGCAGCAAACTCTGTCACCTTGGATTGCTGCGTCCGGTTTTCTTTGGCCAGGCTGGATTTAACTGGACCTAGTCCCTAATCCAGTGACCTTTGAAGCCCTCAAGATGGCTAGAAAGAGGGTGTCAGGGGAGGGATTGCTTGGTTCAGCTTCCTGCCAGCTTGTAATGACCTTAAATATTTGTTTCGTTGATTTTTAAAAATTTTGGCAAAGGAAGTACCCATGCAATTGTAAAATGCTCAGGAACGAAACCAGAATTGTAAAAATGTGTGCAATGAAATTGAACGTGGTGTTTATTCATCTGTTCATGTTCTTCTAGTTGCTGGTTTCTGGAGCACACTGGGACTGGGAGGAAGGGGACCAGTAGCAGCCTTTTTGCTGGTGCTCTCCAGAAAAAGGAATGGGAATCCCAGCCCAGGGACCAGTCAGTCCCGGTTGCTGTGCTCCTGGTGCTACGTGCAAAGCCAGCGCATCTGTCTAGATCCATCTGGGATGGAGAAGGGATTTGAACTCTTTAACACCAGACAGTCCTGCTTGGCTTTTGGGCTCGGATTTTCTTGGGGAGGATG